TATGGGGCCCTGAGCCCACGTTCGGCCCTTACCCCCCAGCGCTGGCACTCCCGAACTGCACCACACTCTGCCCAAAGCCCGCTGCTGCCTCCTGGAAGGTGATGGGGTCCTCCACCTCCACACTGAATCCACGGCTCGGTGCCAGCACTGCAGGGGTTAAACAGTCACCAGTTAGAGCTTCCCCTATGGAGAACGGGCCAGTGGTTGGGTCTGAAGGGCCGGCTCCTTTTGGCTATGGGACTGAATTCCACACACACACACCCCGCCCGCTCTAACCCACCAAATCCCACTCCTCTCCCAAAGCCAGGGATAGAACCCAGGCGTCCTGACTCCCAGCTCCTCACCACCTGCTCCCTGTTCGTTAGCCCTCAAGGGCTATATTATGCAAATCATTCCCTGTATTCATTTGCATAGCACCAGACACACCCACTTAAAAATAAATATCATGAGTGGAGCTAGCGCTGGTGAATGAAGCCCTAGATTTATCTCCATCCGCTTTCCTGATGCTGATCCGTAGCGGGTGCACTTCCTGTAGGGGTAGAAGGGTCAGATCAGACTTCATAAACTGAGAGATTCCAAGGCCAGAAGGGACCATTGTGATTGTCTAGTCTGACCTCCTGGATAACACAGGCCAGAGAACTTCCCTATATTAATTCCTGATTGAACTACGGCAGATCTTTCAGAAAAACGTCCAATCACGATATCCAGTGATGGAGAATCCACAACTCTTGGCAAACTGTATGTGGTTGGTCAATGTTGAATTAGGCTTCCTGTTAAAAATGTTGGCTTTATTTGCAGTCACAGGCCATGTCTGCACTACCTCTCACGGTGGCAAAACTTATGTCACTCAAGGGTCTGAAAAAACCACACCCCCGAGTGACATAAGTTTCACTGGCATAAGTTGTATTGTGCAGAACGCTATGTCGGTAGAGAGCTTCTCCCACCAACAGAGCTACAACCGCAAACAACCGTTGAGGTTGTTTAGTTATGTTGACCGGAGAGCTCTTTCCTGTCGGCATAGAGTAGCTACATGAGTGATCTTACATCGGTGCAGCTGCATCGGCACAGCTGTGCCGCTGTACACTCGCTAGTGTAGACACGGCCTTTGCTTGTCTAACATCAACTTTCAGCCATTGGATCGTGTTAGCCCTTTATCTGCTAGATTGATGAGACCAATATTAAATATTTGTCCTCCTCATAAGTACTCATAGACTGGGGTCAAGTCACCCCTTAACCTTCCCTTAACTAGGCTGATCTCCTTGAGTCTATCACTATGAGGCAGGTTTTCCAATCCTTTCCTTAGTCTCATGGCTCTTCTCTGACCCCTCTCCAATTGATCAACATCCTTTGTGCATTGTGGGCACCAGAACTGGACTCACTATTCCAGCAGGGGTCGCACCAGGGCCAAATACAGAGGTAAAATGCAATAGAGCCTCAGAGTTATGAACACCTCGGGAATGGAGGTTGTTCGTAACTCTGAAATGTTCGTAACTCGAACAAAACATTATGGTTGTTCTTTCAAAAGTTTACAACTGAATATTGACACAATACAGCTTTGAAACTTTACTATGCAAAAGAAAAATGCAGCTTCCCCTTTATATTTTTTGAAGTTTATGTTTAACACAGCACTGTGCTGTATTAGCTTTTTATTATTGGTCTCTGATGCTGTGTGGGTGCGTACTTCTGGTTTAAATGAGGTATGTGGTTGACTGATCAGTTCGTAACTCTGGTGTTCGTAAATCTGAGGTTCTACTGTAACCTCTCTCTTCCTGCCCAAGATTCCCTTGTTCATGCAAGCTGAGACCCCCAAACTCATGTCACACAAGAAACAGGCAGTGCATGGCAACACTGAATCCCTAATGCATAGGGTAGCTAACCCACTCCCCACCTCCACCCGCGGGACTGGCTGGGAGAAGTGGGTGAGTGGGGAAACTCCTCTACAATTCGCTGATCTTCCCCACATCCTCCACCTCCTGGTAGCCAATCAGGGCTGCCGCAGGAGGCAAGCTGGGCTGAGAGGAATTGTGGGAGAGAAGTAGGGAGTGTAATAATCTCTCAGGGTGGCTCTGCTCTCCTCTCCCCTGGCCCTTCTGCCCTCTCCATTCCTGCAAGCCCAGACCTGGGAAGGAGAGTCCCCTTGGAGCTGCCCCCTCCAGTCTGGGAGGAGGTAAAGACTCTCCAGATTTGTAGGAGGAGCAGATGTGGGGCAAGGTGGGGTGTAGAATTCTGGGGCTGGGGGATGAGGTTGGAAAATTGTGGGGCTGGTTGGACAAAGGGAGTGCTCAGAGGGCGGGGGCAGGCTTCCCCGATCTTCCCTTCATCCCTTTTTAGGACCCGTCTCCCAATGTGCCTCAAACTCCCCAGTTCCAGCCTCAAGTCTGTCAACCTTATTCTCAGCCACCACAACGTGTGACCTCCCCCCATGCCCTGAGGGGTCCCAGCTTCACAGACAGCGGAGATGTGACTTTGAATCAGGAAGAAGCTGTGGTGGCTTTACAGCAGGACTGTGCCAACCATGTCCACTTCCTGCCCACCAACCGCAGCCCCAGCCCACATCTTACCAAGCATACGTGCCCCACGGAGAGGGAGAGTCACACCTCCCCCCCATCCACTCCCAGAGAGACCCAACAAGTGGCCACATCTCAGTGCCGGTGGGTGAGGGAATCCTTGTACAAACAGCTCCCATGCCCCACCCCATAGGTGGCTGCATCTCAGTGCCGGGCAAATAACTTCAGGGATTTTATGCCTGCAAAATATCGATTTCATGTGTATTATACCATGTTTTTGGTGTAGTATTTTTTAATATTCTCCAGAGAATGAGAATTATAATCCAGTGTCAAAACAGAGCCCTCACCGGCATATGCAAATAGATTCACACCAACTTTATATTATGCCCTTAACTGTTCATTGCTTACCAACATAGCCTCTTTTACCCTGTTTAGGTTGGCATTGGGGGCCTGTTGCACACATTTTAACAATTTCGCTATCTTACTGTTCATTTGTGGCCATTACTGTCTCTCTCCGGCTCTGCATTGGCATTTCTCCAGGTCCTTCATGTCCTTCATGTCCTCCTGTGAGCATGTCAGCTTGTAACATCTTCGGCGCTACTATTCTATTTCCTCTGCCATCACCAACAGACAGTTCTGCCTTGAACTGAAAATGTGGAGATGATCTGGAATGTCCTGACCACCCAATAGTAATAGCCTTAATTATCCTCTGTAAAGTCTCATCATTACTGTAGCCTCAGCAAGTTCATTCCAAAACCTTTCTGAGACTGAACACCAGACCCCACTCCCCGCCAAGTGCTGGGGATAGAACCCAGGAGTCCTGACTCCCAGCCCCTCCCCACCAGCTCATTCAAGTTTCCCTTGTGTCTAGCCCTGGAGGGCCATTTTATGCAAAACGTTTCATGCATTCATATGCATAGCAGCAGACAGTGGAGTGCGTTTAATATATATATATATATTATATATATATATATATAAATATAATGAGTGCGTTTAGCACTGGTGAATGAAGCCCTTGATTTATCTCTTGCCGATCCAGATTCATAGGGGGAGGGGGAGTTTCTGTAGGGTCGCAGGGGCAGATCGGCCTTCATAGAATTATAGACCATAACGCCAGAAGGAACCGCTGTGTTCATCTAGCCTGACTTCCTGTGTAACACGAGCCAGGGAGCTTCTCTGAATTAATCCCTGTTTGAACTAGACTGGAACATTTAGAAAAAGATCCAATCTCGATGTAAAATTGCCAGTGACGGGGAATCCACCACGACCCCTGGTAAATTGTTCCAGTGGTTAATTCTTCTCACTGTTAGAAATGTTACACCTCATTTCCAGTCTGAATTTGTCTAGCTTCAGCTTCCAGCCATTGGATCGTGTTAGACCTTCCTCTGCTAGACTGAAGAGCCCATCATCAAATATTTGTTCCCCACGCAGGTACTTATAGACTGAGATCAGCACCACTTTGCCTTCGCTTTGTTAATCTAAATAGTGATAGACTCAAGGAGCTCAATCTATCAGGCAGGTTTTCTAATGCTTTGATCATTCCCATGGCTGTTCTCCGAGCCCTCTCCAATTCATCAACATCCTTCTTCGACTGTGGGCACCAGAACTGGCCACAGGAGTCCAGCAGCACTCGCACCACTGGCAAATACAGAGGTAAAATAACCTCTCTGCTCCTACTCCAGTTTCCCCTTCTTACGCATCCAAGGATTGGCTGCAGCATCGCACTGGGAGCTCCTTGGCCCAGGCAGTTCTTGGTCTCTCTGCCGAGTCTATCAGTTAATGCAGGGTGGCGTAGTAAGCTTGTGCCGTGGGAGCCACAGCTGAGACCCACCAAATTCATGTCACACAAGAAACACCAAACAGCCCATCAGTGGCAACAGTGAATCCGTAACACACTGTGGCCATCTCTCCCCGAGAATCCCCTGGGAGCTGCCCCCTCCAGGCCTGGGAGGTACTAAAGACCCCCCAGAACATTAGGAGGAGCAGATATGGGGCAAAGTGGGGTGCAGAATTGTGGAGCTGGGGGGATGGGGCCTGGGGACCAAGGAGCTGAGGTTGGGGAAGGAGCTGAGGTTGCCTCCCCCATTCTTCCCTTCATCCCTTTTCAGACCCCATCTTCCAGTCTGTCCCCCCTTCCCAGCCCATCCCCCTCACTCTCAGCCACCCCAAAGTCAGCCCCCCTCCATTCCCTGATGGGTCCAGGCCACACAGACAGGAGAGACGTGACATTGAAGCAGGGGGAAGCGGCTGTGGTTTTACAGCAGGATTGTGCAATTGCAAACACTGCATCCACTTCACACCTGCCAGACCCTCCCCCCACAGAGAAGGGGAGTCGCATCTGTGACCCACTCCCATCCCAGAGAGTCTGGGGGAACAGAACACAGAGGGAACTGAACCCAGGAGTCCTGATTATCAGCCCCCCACCTCCTCTAAGCCACTACAGCCCCATTCCTCTCCCAAATCTAGGGAGAGAACCTAGGACTCCTGAGACACAGGCCCCCTGCTCTAACCCACCAGACCCACCTCCCCACCCCCCAGAGCCAGCCAGGGATAGGACCCAGGAGTCCCAACCGTCCAGCTGCTCCCATCTCCCTGCCAGAGGGGTACTCGCTGGGCACCCATGTGGAGGGGCCCAGCTTTTCTGGCTGGCACTTACCTGCGCACAGGTAGAGTAGCAGAGGCAGGGGGTCCATCCTGTGCTGGGTGAGGGGTGTGTGTGGAGCGGGGAGTGAGAGGTTCAAGGATGCTGCCTGGAGAGGAGGCAGCAGAGTGCAGAGGAAAGAGAAGTGATATTGAAAAGAGAAAAATACTGATGAGGGGTGGAGGTGAGGACTCAGAGGTGTTATAGGGAGGGAACAGAATAGAGACAAGAGAAAGTCAAGTACACTGAGACACCCAACTAGTCAGACACACACGCAGCTACATAGAGACTGACGAAAAAACAAAAAAGACCAACCACGAACACCCTGAACTCCCCCATACCCTTCTTCTTCACCTCCACCAGTGGTCAACTAGTTACATGTGATGTTGCTAATTTAGTCATTTTCCATCCCCCCGCACACTTTGTAAATTCAAACACCCCTCTAATTTCAATTCTTGGGGAAAATACTGCGAACGCACCTACCCTGAGACAAACAGACACAACTAGACAGACACCCATACAACTACCCTGAGACAGACAGACACACAACCAGAGAGACAAACACCCCTTCTCTGAGACAGACAGACACACAACTACACTGAAATAGACAGATACACAATTAGACACACAACTGCAGTGAGAGACACACACAGTTAAACAGACAGACAGACTACTCTGAGACAGAGACAGACACGTGACAATATTGAGACACACAAATCACACACACAAAACAACACTAAGTCACCCAAACACACACACACACACAATATGACACTGAGACAACCAGACAGGGACAGTCACAGTCCAATGATCCACAGACAGACAGACAGACACACAAAAACACCACACAGACACCAACTCACACACCCTTGCACTGACACAACAACACACTTTTCTTACTACCAGTGGTGACCACTGGACAAATGTTCCCTCACAGCTGTTCCCGCAGGAGCGAACCCCGGTGGGCTCCCAACTCATCTGCACCAGTGGGGAGTTCGTACCCCAGCCCCGTGGCAGCTGCACCCTCTGGCAGCTCACAGGAGTGAAGCAGGGCTCTGAAAGGCCAGGGCCATGATGGAGGAAACTCAGGGAGTGGGGTGGGTTTACACTAGTGTCAGCTTCACTTCTTCTAAGTTGCATTGCTGGATGACAGCTAACCAGACCCTGTACCCACCCTGGAGGTGGCTGCATCTCAGCGCCAGGCAAGGAATCCCTGTATAAACAGCCCCTGTGCCCCACCCCAGAGGCAGCTGCATCTCAGCACCAGGCTAGTGATCTTGTATAAACAGCCCCCGGGCCCCACTACAGAGACGGCTGATGCCCATTCACTCTGTGGTCCAGAGGAAAGCAGAGAGAAGAGTCAGCGAGGCTTCTAATTTCTCCAATTCTTACCTGCAGGGCCGGGCTTGTGTTTGGGTGACTGCCCAGGGTGCCGTGATTGGGGAGGGTGGGTGCCGTCCGAGTACCACAAGCTGGCAGGTCTGGGCTGCCAGAGAGGGGATGAGTGCGGGTGAGAACAGGGCTGGAGCCCCTGGCCAGCCGGGAGGGGGTGGGTGGAGCTGCCAGCCTGGCAGGCAGGCACAGGCGACAGAGCTGCCCCCTGCGGAGCGAGCGGGCCGGCCCGTGTCCCCCTTTCCCGTGGGGACGCGTGATGCCGCACAACCGCTCTCCTCAGACTAGATGGTCGGGGAGAATGGCCGGGGGAACCCCCGGGCTCAGTAACTCCTCCCTGTGCAGCCCGGCTGGGATCTGGGGCCAGAAGCTGGCCCTCGCGCCCTGCGCCCCACGCTGCTGTTCTCCAACTGCACTCAAGTACGAGTTCGCCCAGGGCGCCATTTTCCCTGAAGCCGGCCCTGCTTACCTGGACCCCAGCCCCACAGGCCACTTGGCCCCCAGCCTGTGACGTGTGATCCAGCACCAGTCACGGCAGAAGGAGAATTGGAAAAAACAGACACAGAGCCAGGACCCTGTTCCCCATTCGAGAAACACACAACGGGCATTTCCTTATGCATTTCCTAGTGCCCCTAACCCCACACAACAACAACAATGCGCTTTCCAGGCTGAGCATTTGTACAGGGATCCCTCCCCCGGAGCTCCTTCAGCTGCCTTTGTGGTGGGACACAGTATTGGGGGAAATCCGCCAAAGCAGGAAATGTGCAGGGAAAACATTTAGGTCAGGCACAGTTCAAATCCATCTTTTCCTGTGCATGGGGCTGTCTACATTGTCTCAGACCATCTGTCAAAGATACAATCCAAAACCTGGGCACACGGTGTTTGAAGAGCAGGACACAGGCCTGAATGGGAAAGGGTCACTGTCCTGTGGGCGTTTTGGGGTCCATCCTAAAGCAACAGAGAATTCTCTTCCTGCACCAGAATCCTATATGGTGTTTCCAGATACCCCTATAAAAACGGCATCACCCCCTACTGACCACTGTAGCTGCATATTTTTGTTGCTTGTGTCTCAATTAAATTTGACAGACCAGCGAGCCCACTACAGAGACAGGCTGGGCTTGTGGTTCAGGAATTAAACTGGACTCAGGAACCTAGGTTCTGCTCCTGGCTCTGCTACAGACTCCCTGTATGAGATCGCACAAGTTACTGAATCTCTCTGGGGCTCAGTTTGCCCCAACTAAGGATAAAAAGCCTGCCTTTGTCTACTTAGACTGAGTTCTTTAGGGCAATGGTCGTCTCTCACTGTGTGTCCACGCAGCACCCACACAGTTTGGACCCGGACCTTAGTCGGGCTCCATGCAGCACCCCAGCCCCACGGGGGTCCCCAGCTCTCGGCCGGGCTCCATGCAGCACCCCAGCCCCACGGGGGTCCCCAGCTCTCGGCCGGGCTCCGTGCAGTTCCCAGCCCCACGGGGGTCCCCAGCTCTCGGCCGGGCTCCGTGCAGTGCCTGGCATGACAGGGAGCCACTTTCACCTGGGAGAGAGGCACAAAGTGGTTTCAAGACAGAGCAGGAGACAACTTGGAGCGGGGTGGGGGAGGATAAATAAGGTTTATAGTGAGGATGCACAGACACCTAATGCTAACTGGGATATCTCTAGCTCTCCCCGTCTCTCTCTCACACCCGAGTCATATCCATCCGCAATCTAATTAAAAACCTAGCTTTCTCATGCCCAGCCTTTGAGTCAGAGTGAGGGGGCTGAGCTGAGAAATTAACACATCAATTTCACATCCTTTTTAGGCTGTAGATTTGCAAGATGTGCAGGACCGACACCTTTCTGAGATCAATCCCCCCTCCCCTACACCCTGACAGATCTAAAAATCTATATGTACATGGTGCCCTCTACACAAAGCCGGTGTTTGGGTGAGACGGCTCTGTAAAGCAGGGGCAGGCTTTACAGAGGGTTTTCAGGGTTTTCAGGGTAAGGGATCACATGGACACTGACCCAGCTGGGATAAAGGCAGTGCCATAGAAAGAGGTAGGAACACAGGACTCCCCGGACCGGAGCACCCTGAGGTCCATTTACCCAGTGCTGGAGTGTTAAAGAAAGAAGTGCTGGAACACCAGGTAGGGGAGGCCCCAGGAAAGGAGCTAGGGTAGTGGGGTTGCTGGGAGGAAAATGGTTCCTGGTGGCTCTGGCTCCCGCATTTCCCTGCATGGTCCCAGCTGCAGCGGCTTCAGAGGAGACCCTGCCCGGCCCAGAGGACACTGTGCAGCCAGGAAGGGAAAGGAGCCACCTGGCCTGGGACTGACAGGAGTTCTGGAACAGCTGTAAGACAGAGACACCCAGGCACCTATATTACCCCTAGGGTGACCAGATAGCAAGTGTGAAAAATCAGGACCCTTTTTTTTGGGGGGGGGACCGGGGGTATAGTTGCATATATAAGACAAAGCCCCTGATGTCCCATGTCAGAACATCTCACCGAAAGGGGTCTTGGAGGTCTCTGCCGAAAGGTTAGAATTCGCCAATTGTTGTGAGATGTTTGTATAGGAAGCAATTTTAGAGCTATGGGATAGCTAAGCTATTGTGTCCCCAATCTACCTGGAGTGAAACCCACCACAGGAGACGGGAGAGGCTGAGAGCGGATCCAATCAACATGAGAACAATGGACACCTGTGGCAACAGACGATGTTTACTATCTGGACTAGACGCAAGCTGGAGAATTCCAAAGACAAACACACACACACACACACACACTGGGAGAGCACTCAGAAGAGAGGGCCCCCCCCGGCGAAGAGACTGAGACTGTGACTGCATAAAAGCAGAAGAAATGGCCCAAATGGTTATCCAGTATGGAAGAAAGACTCTATCAGCCTCATGACAGTTGGATCCCAGCTTTTTGAACTGGACAAGAGCTGCAAGATCTAACCAGTGGAAAGAGCCACCATATTCGATGGGAAGTCACCTGTCAATAAGCACAGGCTGTTGGCACCTTCTGGGCTGCAATTCAGACCAGCGAGAAGTTGTGTCGTCGCTTGTCCTGTAACCGCGAGAGCCTGAAAATGCTTCACTGCTGTAGCTCCCTGTCCGGATGCTCCCAGCCAGCAGCTCTGACTCCAGCCCCCTGCGGGTTACAATACAGCCACGCCCTGGTCTCCACCAGCCGGGGTCACCGCTAGCCAAGTGACCACAGCATACCCCCAGTCCCGAATTTCCCAAAAACCTTCTGCCTTGAAATGTCCAGCACTGCCCTGGGACAGTCAGAGGAGTAATACAGACCACGGGTGCCGACTTTCTTCTTCCCAGGTTGGTGCTCCACCCCACCCCACCCCCTCCCCCAACCATGCCCCAGCCTCACTTCGCCCCCTGCCACAAAACAGCTGATCAGTGGATGGGTGCTGAGCACCCACTTTTTTTTTTGCACCCGTGGAGTTGGCACCTATGATACAGACCATGGCTTCTTTAAAGAGACAAAAGCCCAGCAGTTTGTTCCTTTAACTGGACTGAATATTCACTTATAGGCAAACACAGCACATGGCTGATTTAAACTAAAAGCAAAACAAGTTTATTTCATCAAAATGAGCAAGGTTTTAAGTGAGTCAATTAGGCAATAACGTGCCATCGCTGGTAAAATGAGGGTCCGGCTGGAGAATCTTGCCT